TTAACATGTTAACCTTGTGGTGCACTTACTTTTGCAATTTTAAGTAGCATAGTGGTACTGTACCAATGCTTCAATTGTCTTGAATGCACAAATATTTAGTCTACCTAGGTGTTCCAACGCAACGGACTGGCAGCCTGAAGAGTTGAGGTAATTTGACTAGCTTTAAATAAATGGTGGATTTAAAGATATGGAAGTCTTTGAAGCGCAGTTTTTGTAGCGAAAACAAAAAACGTCCTCGTCTCCAACGCACATCTAAGGCCCTCAATTGAGCGCAAAATAAAAGGCAGCTATACATTCTGGCTGATCAGAAGGAAAAGTCTTATTCAAGCGATCATTTACTTCCTCAAGAGCATTATCAGTCACATAGTATTAAAAGATAGTCTCAGTCTCCAAGACGGGTGGATGGGGAGGAAACGAAAGTTGTCGCACTCCACCTTAACCAAGCGGAGAGATGACCACTGTCATAAAAGGTTGACTGCCCAAAAACACCGTTCTCTGCCATTACTGCTTTTCACTCAACCGCTCTGTCCGTGCTGCGACTTGTCGACTCGGCTAGCGTAAACTGACTACTAGCACAATGCACATTTCCTTCTTACGTAAGGAACTCGAAGCTTGTGCATAACTAACGCCCGTTAAACTTTTTCTCCCAAACCCCTTACCATGCTCCCAAATTTAAGAGCAATTGGAGCTGTTCTGCTGCCGTTTAAGAGTAATTTGGTTTCTTGTTAACTGTTGAAACATGTCCTACCTAGTGGGGTTTTGACTTAAATTCTTCATTTGAATTCGAGTTCTTTCTTCAAGTAAATGTGACGCATGCATAGAGCATAGTGGGTTACGCAGGGCAAGGAACAAGACAAGCAGACGTGATAAGTATTTAAAATAACTATTCATTTCAAAGAAATTAAGATTTTGCAGGATTTTTTGAAAACATTGTGAGCGCTGCTGAAGGCATAGCTTTAACTTACAATTGGAACACCGCTGTTGGGCGATATAGTGTCTGGTGCTTCTTGTCCTCCACCACCGCCACCACCACCACCACCCCCACTGCAACCATCATCATATTCCGCAACATTAACTGTGGGCACCACCTGTCGCTGATGACGGCGGACACTTCCAGGCCGTGTAGAGGGACTGACTGACGACTCACTGACATTTCGCTCCGATTGCGGCGAGTTCGGTGGAAGCTGATCGGCCATACCTCGTAATGAATAGGAGCCACGATGATCTGACGACCATTCACCAGAACGGCACGCACGTTGTTGCTGCTGTTGCTGTTGCTGTTGCATGTGAACACACGCGGGCCCCATGGGATGGACTTCACAGGTGTGAATGGGAGGTCCACGGGGTGGCTGTTGAGACTGCTGGCAGGTGTGCTGTTGATGCACACAGCTGCCCCCTCCACCTCCACCACTACTACCGCCTCCACCGCCACCATGAAGGCTTTCATGGAAGTGAGGATTGGGATTGTGCGAAGGACAGAGTTTGGCAGGATAGCGGTGGGCATCAGCAGCTGAGAAGAGAGAAAAATGGTAAAACATATTGCCATTTCTAAAATCTGCCAAGAAAACGCCCCATTAACGTCTGTTTTAAATAATTGAAATGTGAATTTGTATTGAAAAAGCTAGGCTTTGAAGGAAGTAGCGACCAATTTTACTGTAAGGGAACCTAAAGTTGTTGAGAATTGCTGAGACGCATTTTTGGCTAAGTAAAATATAACTTTCAGCCCACAATTACAGCTCAAACTCTGGCTATCGAAACTAAGTCCTGGAAGTGGTTTGAACTACCAAATTGCCATTGCCTTGTATTAC